TGGTCAACTTTTTAACTGGGGGGGGGGGGGGGTCATTGTAAGGTTTGCATACAAAAACGTGTCACTACTCCCCCATAAAGGGTATTGAAATTGCCCTTGACTTAATTTTTCGAAAGTAGTTGCGATCGTACATGTTACTAAAAAAATCTCTGATAAGCAAAAACATGAACGAAAATCGAGGAAGAAAAAAATGATCGGAACGCAACAATCAGATGTAAATGTGATAAAATTTGGTATAATAAACGAACAGAATAACATTAAATTCTCCTTTCTTCCTGTTTGTTACATCTGTGAAATGACAATACATTTGAGTGCTCTTTTAAAGGAGTTTGGTCATTTTATATTTCGAATAATGTTAGGTAGAGAATTCCATACATCTGGACCCCTGTATTACTGGGCTAATGTAGTGTTGAGGATGACCACATGTAAATTCGATGACTGCCTTATGGATTATGAGTTAACCATGTTGGAGCATTGAAGATAATGAAGTAGGTAACAATTTGATATTGAAACGGAACATACATAATGGTAGTTTGGAGGAAGGTTTTATCAACACCTTTAAGTATTTCAGTTTAACAAATAGTGGGGTAGCATGGTCACGATAACCAGCTAGGGTACATTATGCGCACAGCTTTCTTTTGCAGCAGAAGAATATTATTTGTCACACCCTTGGATGTTGCCCACAAAATATTACAATAGGAGATAATTATGTGGTAAAATTATACTATTATATAGCATAAGTATATTCTATCAGAAACAAAACATTTTATTCCATACAGTACGCCAATATTTCTTGAGATTGGTGTAACAATGTGTTTTACATGGTCGCTCCAGTCAAGTTTTTCATTGATATAGACACCAAAGGAACTAAAATGAATATAATTTGTTTTAGGCACATTCAACTTTGGCAGTTCAGAGTTTAGTTTCTGTTCGAGAGTGTTGATTTCACGATGAAACAAGAAAACACTCGTATTATCTGCAAAATAAAGTATCATTTAAAAACAGCCAGGCCTCTCATAACAGTCGATATATAATGAGAAACCTCCCTATAACTTTTTTTCTTTACCAGAACTTGAGACCTTTTTTAAATTTTTGAATTACACACAGGTGTCAAGCGTATATGATTGAAATCATTAATTTTCTTCTATTTTTATCATCCTCTAGCGTAAGCATCTCAAAATGACCACACCACCACCTCATAACAGAGTGCATAAATCAGTATTCATAATACAATCAATTATATTCCCTATCCAGTACAAGTCAACACAAAGCAAGTTTCAAATTGAAAAAATGTACTGCATTTGATTGTAGGTAGTATAGTACGGTTCAGTGGCACGGATTTTACCGAAAATGTTTATTATTATTATTATTATTATTATTATCCGATAACCTGTACTAAACACAATGAACTCGGAACTCAATTCTGTCCATAGCTGGAGGCAAACAAATTATCTCTAAACATAAAAAAAGCATATTACATGTTTTTCAGACATTCAATAACCACTACTTGGTTCCATGATCATAAATGGGGGTCAATATTGTAAATGTTCAATTTACAAAATTCCATGGAATATATATCGACAATAAACTTTCATGAAAAACCCATGTAGATGTACTGTGTAGAGCGATTTCAAGAGACATCGGTGTAATTATTAAAGCTAAAAACAAAAGTGCTTTGAACACTTTATTTGCTATTATTCTTCCTTATCTAAACTACGGGATCCTTTATTGGGGCATGGAGCTATGTATATCTCCATGATTGGGGTAACTCACAAACAACACAATCAAATAGAATATTACTACTGCAAAAACAAGTTCTAAGAATGATAGAAAACGTCTATTTCCGCTCACATAGTTACACAACCTTTACTCACAACAACACAATCAAATAGATTATTACTACTGCAAATACGAGTTCTAAGAATGATAGAAATGCTCACATACAGAACCTTTGTTTCTTAAAAACAAACTTTTGTCTACAAAGAATATAATGACCCAGGGGCGGCCGAGCGACTTTCAAAGTGGGGGGGGGGCACCAACAAAAAAGGGCACTTTCTGGAAAAAAGGGCACCTACAGTGGGAAATCTCAAAGCGAAAATATACAATTTTTAGACATTGGTATATACCTCTACATTGTGATTACATTATCAGGGATGATTTCAATATTTGTTTCTCTTCATACATCATACAAGATATCGCTTAAGCATCAAACTTTACAGTTGGGTGTGATGTCTGAATATGCATTTAAGAGCGAGCGAAGCGAGCGAGAAAATTTTTAAAGATCTGTGAGGTCGCAGTGCGAAAAATTACATCTTATAAAGAGGAAAAAAACCAATCGTGATGGGGTTATAAGCACATTCTCATAACGGAAGACTGAAAAGACCTTTGATAAGTAACATAATTATATAATCTTTAAATGCGAGCGAGCGCAGCGAGCGAACTTTGGGGGAAACTGCTCTTAGTCGCTTTAAATAAGGGGCACGTTTAATGATTACATGAAAAGGGGACAATTATCGAAAGGGATAAGACACTTATTAGAAAAGAAAAGGACCACGTGTATAAGTACAAAGGATAATTATAAGAGGTGAAAATGAGGCATTTTTTCACTTGAAAAGAGGCACTCACCAGTGATGAAAAGGAGGCGTTTACGAAAATGGGAAATAGGCATTTGTTGACGGAAAAGGGGCACCCATCAGATTTTAATAGGGTCATTTATAAGAGGTGAAAAGGGGATAGGTCCCTTATTAGAAAGGAAAAGGGCACGTATCATTATTAAAAGGGGAATTATCAGAGTTGCAAAGGGGCACTGACCAGATATGAAAAGGGGCACTTATGAAAATGTAAAAGGGGCACTTATAATAAAGGAAAATGTGCATTTGTTGAATGAAAAGGGGGCACCGTTCAGATGTTTAAAAGGGGCAGTTATGAGAAGGGGAAGGGGAAGTTATGAGAAGGGGAAGGAGCTCTCTCTTTTTAATGGGGGCACTTATCATAAGAAAAAGGGGCTCTTATTAGAAAGGGAAAGGGGAAGTTATGAGAAGGGGAAGGAGCTCTCTCTTTTTAATGGGGGCACTTATCATAAGGAAAAGGGGCACATGTTAAAATGAAAGGTGCGCTCATCCGAGTTTAAAAAAGGGGTAGTTATTAAAAGGAGAAGGGGCACTTCTTACAAAGGAAAAAGGGGAAGTTGTCAAAGTATAAAGAGCACCTCTCAGTTTTGAATAGGGCAATCATCAGAGGTGAAGGGGGCACTTTTTAAAAGAGAAAAGGGGCACTTCTCGTACCTGAAAAGAGGCACTTACTAGAGATTAAAAAGGGCACTTATTCAAGATAATTTCAAGATTCATGAGAATGGAAAATGAACATTTATGGAAAATGGGAACATGTCGAAGGAAAAGGGGCACGTGTCAAAAATAAAAAGGGCACTCGTCAGAGGTGAAAAGGGGAAAGGGGCACTTTTACTAAGTAATAGGGGCACTTGTCAAAGTAAAAGGGGCACCTTACCTATGTAAAAGGGGCACTTCTTACAAAATAAAAGGGGCACGTTTCCTATGTAAAAAGGGGCATTTTGGGGGTATCTGAAAAAGTGGGGGCACTGTGCCCCCCTGCCCCCCCCGGGAGGGCCGCCTCTGTAATGACCTTTGCCTCCTAAACCTTACGATTTTCATGTTCCAAATATCTAACATCGCAAACTGCCATCACCTCACGCTTCACCAGAAATAATGAAATACGCCCTTATACTACAAAACAAGCACTGCATAATAAATATCATCTTACCTTGACGAGATAAGCCTTTGCTAATAAAAAATGAAAACATTTACCTGTACTGGATACTGGACCAACTAGTATTGGGATAATATTAATCAAACCCTGAAACCCTAAAACGAAACTCACACTTAAAAAAAGCATGAAATTATCTCTGCTACAAAACTTCGTATGCATAAATCGTCGTTCTATCCATATACCCGGCCCCAAACTGTAACTGTGGGACACATCAATCTTTCAACTGTTTCCACTGCATGTGTTTCTAGATTTATTCATCTATTTTTAATTAAAAATATACCTATACAAGCCACGCTTATCAATGAGCCCCTCATTTTCACATGTCACATAAAAATAGTCTCACCTTCAATAATGTTCTTACTCTCAATTTTTTAAATTGTCAATAATGTAGCTTAACTATCGCAATGTTTATAATATTGTTTCCAGATCTAATATCCTCCATTTTGCTTTGTTTGTTTTATGTATACATTCGAGCATGTGAAATAAATAAATTCAAATTTAATTCGAATTCATTATTATCATTATCATTGTTACTATCATTATTGTTTGTGTTATTATTATTATTATTATCATTATTATTATTATTATTATTATTATTATTATTATTATTATAATTATTATTATTATTGTTATTGTTATTGTTATTATTATTGTTATTATTATTAGTACTAGTATTAGTAGTAGTAATTTATTTACTGAGAACGCTAAATGGTTGAACGGTTGAACATTTATTATTTCATTTTCGAGCTGGCGGGGAAACAAATTCTCAAATAGAATGCCATAACATCGCGCAGTTGACGCCGTCCTGCGCAAGAAAACTGCCCCCTCAATCAACCACGGGTTTCGTCATGCTTTAACCCTTGACACGTCATTTTTCATCGATTTGTCTTATATATGGAAAAGTCAGCTGCTAAACATATATTCTTATTATACATAGAAATCTTGCCATAAAAACGGTAGTATTGATAAAGAAATGCATCTCATCGTTGCTATGTTATCTATTCATGATATTTCGGGAGGAGGTTTCCATGTGCCAATCTCTGGCTCCTCCTACTTGTGCTCATTTCCATCTTATTTGCATAATAAGGTCAACTATACTGCCCGATCTACCCAATCGAAAGGCGGCTTCTATGGCAGCCGGGTTCTGCCTTGATATCAGCAGTGTTGTGGAAATAGCTGTAATTTCATTCATTCGATCGGTCATCGTGTGTAAAATGCTTACTACGAAAATGCACACACGACGACACACACCATATACTACTCTGGTTAGCTAGGCGCCGCGCGCCGCGCGCTCGGATCGTAAATTTGCTACGAGATATTTTATATGCACAATTAATGTACTGCACTCGAAGTCGACGAAATTTTTGTACGAGATTATTTTGAGAGGTGCGCAGAAAGTCGTCCAAAAATGCTGAGATAAAGCTCTGGAATAACGTTTATTTTTTGCAGAAGTGAGAAGGATATTGTGTCCCCAGTCTTGTTGAATTCTGCTGTATCAGATTCATCATAAAGTTGGAAATATGTCCACCCACGGCGCCCAGACACATCAAAGACCGACTCGGAGAAACGCCTCGCCAAGAGCAGGCCCGCAGCCGATCAGGGCCACTTTACCATTCACATTGCGACATGGACAAGGGAGTCCTACACGGCCTAGTGGACGGAGATCAAGCCCAGGTCCGGCTTCATCTCCTACACAACCTTGGTCCTCACCAAATGGCAATGAACAACACAAAACCAAACATAGAACATCACCTGAGAGGAGCCCAAGTTCTCCTGGTTTCAAAGGTAATTTATTTTAAAGAAAAAACAATAATGACAATGTCAAACCGGCAATGGCAATATCGCAATTAGACCTCTACTCACGACACTAGGCCTAGATCTACTGCCGTGCTAAGCAAAGGCAAAGTCAAATCCATAATTTAACTCCCTGGCCTGGCCCTGGTGAGACTTGGTTTTAAATCTATTTTGGGGAATTTGGAGAATTGCGGGGTAGAGTATTAACAGTTTAAGACCTATTAAAGGGGCCAGGCTATAGGCCTAGTTTAAATGTTTTCAAACTGACATTCATTTATTAAGCTAGATGTTGATTTTAGATTGTCGAAACACGCCCCCCAAAAATATGTGCTCTAGAAAGTCTTAGCCCTAATCTGCCTGTTTTCTTGAAAAAAACTGCCTGCGATAAGATCGGCAATCGCACACAAACTTCACTAACCCGTACGATGTAGATCAGTCTCAGTAAGACTGTAAAGAGGCAATCAGTGGAGTCGGACGCAGTCTCAGCAGAACAACCGTCGATATCAGAGACTGAATCTTCACTGTTGCCTGGTTATTTGATGGAATTTATGTAGATCTCTAGATTTTGGCCAAATTGTCGTCGGTTACAAATCTTTCACCACCCGTCGCCTCTACTAGTGCCGCATATACGTACAGTGTATAAAGGTCGCACAGTTCTGATCTCATATTTGCGTGATAAAGTCAAGGAAATCTATTCTTTGCTCTAGAATTGAAATTTAATTTTATTAAGTTTCATATTTATCATAGCCATAGGTTTGACTTTGAGGAGACTCTTACTAATGTTAATTAATACAAGCTGGTGCAAATGATGTGGATCTCAGTTTTTAGATCTAGATGAGTACTGTACATGTACATCCAACTCCAACCAAGTTAACTGTTGAAAGTTTGGATCTAGATCTAGAGTGATCTTATTTTCAGATCTCCTAAAAATGTTGAAATTTGGGGAAACAAATGTTGGTGCCGTAAATTAAAGTTTTGAATTATGTTGAATAAAAAAAAAAGCGTAATTTTTGTATGAAATGTTACTTATTATATTCCTTCTACTGTACTTACCTTCTAACATGCAAAAAATCCTAAAAAAATTCTCTAACCACAAAGATATTTATGGTTTTCTTTGAAGGCGTCACTGTGCGACACCCTCCAACAGTAAATTTTCCCAACCAATTTTTTAATTTTTCCAACCGCTTTCCCATGAAAATAAGACAACAAACAGGCTTTGAAAAAATCTTTCAACACTTAAATGTCTGGGATGGTACATGTATACAGAGCCAAAAGGCCATTTTCATAATGTAACCAAATTTAATGCATAAGTTATTGTGAAGTGCCTCAATCCAAATTAATTCATTCACCTGATAAGAATAATAGTATTTCAATAATTTGAACTGCATACATAAGCTGTTGCATTATGGCTTGACCTACCTACATGGAGCAACACTTATATGCAATTTTGCATTCTGACTATTTAAATGCTATTATTCTTATCAGGTGAATGAAATAATTTGTATTGAGGCACTTCACAATTATTATGTATTGAATTTGGTTTCATTACGAAAATGGCCTACCGGTATTCATTGCTTTCTGAAATTCACCTCAAAATTAATTAAATTATAATAATATGGTTGGGAGAATCAGGAATCGATCAGATCAGTTTTTCCCATTTTATTTCATTAATTATGGTCTGTTTTCTGTAATGTCTTTAATTGTACATCTACACTGTAGCATTGAAGTCACTACCTTAGCACCATTTTCTCTCATATGAACAATGTTACCAGGTCCCTTTCAAAGGTGAAATTACATAGCCAGGAGCCAATGTTTCATGTTAAATTTTGCCAAAAGTCTAGGTGCTTCTCCATTATCAGGGGAAGGTTGGGCATGAGAAATTTGACTGAAGGCGATCACTGATTCTCAAACACTAGTCTGAATTTAGTTCCTGACTTCCTGTCTCTAGCATGCATCAGATTGAGATTCAGAACATGTCACACATAGTAGTTATACACAAATATCTGCTTGGTTTAAGGAGTTTTATAAAATCATTAGACTTTTGAGGCGTTCAGAGGATTTGATGAAGGCAGACATACAGTACCATAGTCTCAGCAGATCTTAAATTCTTTAACGATTTGACTGTTTTTAAGTCTAAGTCACAGTTTGTCATCACTGGGAAATTAGCTCACTGTTTGGTCAAAGAAGGGCCATTTCACAAACAAACCCAGTAAACTTGAGCTAAAATCCCAAGTGCAATGGTCAAAATATAGTCTTAAAATTTTATAATTTGCATCTTCATTGCAAATGAGCTTGAGCACTTGGGTGGAGTGGGTTTTCTCCCCCGACCCCCCCCCCCCCCACACACACACACACACCCACACCCACAGTTGCACTGACACAGTGTACATGCACACTGTGTATACCCCCCCCCCCCAAAAAAAAAAAAAAAGAAAAAGAAGAAAAGTCAGCAAAAGACCTTTTTATAATTCGAATAAATTTGCCAAGTCCCTTGGAGAGGACTTAAAGCCGTCGGTCCCCTTGTTGCTTACTTACAAGCATATGCATGCTTTCTTAGTAGTCAGGAAAAACAAAACAATGACATGTTGTACTGTGAGGTACTACAGTTCAGAGGCTATGCTACATGCAGCTTTCTACTTCAAGTACATCGTATAAATGCCATTGTACATGATGGTCTTGGAGGTCCTACATATATTTACATAGGCCTACACACTGTATAAGTGCATTTATGTACAATACAATATAATGTGGGCTTTTGACTTTTGTGTATGTACATGTATATATGTATGCATTCAGAATAGACATGACCAGTTCATTATGCCCTATATATATATATTCAACATTATGCTTGATAGTAATGCATGCATGGTACATTGTATGTGTAGAGTCTATAGAAACAGTGTATTCTTTAAGTGAGAGAATCCTATCTTCGGTTTTCGATATCATAGGCCTACACTGCATTTATAGAGGCCTACACACATGTACATGCCGTCACAAAGATAAACAACTTAAATCCTAATGCATGAAGCATGTGCTCTCAGCGTGCTCATGTTCATGACATCAATTTTTGTTTTGAATACCAAAATAACTGCAGAATACCCCACCTTCTATTAAAGTGACCCTAATCATAACCTGGATCCAATTGCGTTGTTACAATGTACATGTACCCCTAATGCTATTACAATATGTACACATACATCTACGCATGCTGGAATATTAGTAGAAAACCATAATATGTCTTATACTTTGACCTAAAACATTTTTTTTTTCTTTCAAAAAGCTGACACCAGTTTCAGTATCCATGTTCCTGTACATGTACCGGTATGCCAAAAACAAAACTTATTTTATTTTTAAAAAGTCAACAACAAAACAAACAAGAAGATCTGGATTTACAGTAAGTTCATGTACATGTACATGTACTTGTAGATGGATAGGATGGTACAAGATAGGCGGTGGGTGTGTGTGTGTGTGACATGCATTTTATATTGTACATGTACAGTAAAGGCTTCAATATTACATACAATACATGAATGTACCGGTACATGTATGCTCCTCACTAGCATTTATAATGCTTAACTTTATCATCCCTATAAATGCATGCCTTTTTTTTAGCACAAAACCTGAAATAACATGTTTTTTGTATGCATGTAATGTTTGTTCGACACTTGTGACAAAGGAGAAAGAAGCCTGGGATGAATCTTTGTTGAGGTGTCTGTACAGTACATGTAGACCTGCAATTTAGTGGATAATACAGAGGTGTATCCAGAAATTGAATGATATACATGTAGGGGGTGGGAGCTGAATCCCCTTTAGAGGCAGAGGTGAAGCAAGCAACCCTGTAGGATCATGGATGTACACAAATTATGATTTATTCTTGGTCTTCGTGAGGGGAACGGGGGGGGGGGGGGGTGGCCGATTCTTTGCAGGATAAAATTCCAGTGCTGGGTACTACATACACGCCTACAGGGGCGTATCCAGAAATTGAATAATGGGTGTGCAATCCCTGGCTGTAGAGGTGGAGATGAAATGTGTGTACATGAAAGTGTATTATGTATTAAATCATTCATTTATTGCAACCATAAGTTGGATTTCATACAGTAAAAAAGGCAGGCATATAAATGGTTCACAATATAGTTATATGTATATATACTTTGTACAATAAAACTGTATAAATTGACACTGTAAATACATAGATATGAAAAGAAGAAGAAAAAAAACACTCAAGAGCAATCACATTTAAACATAATTAAAAGGTACATAGGACTTCACAGGACCAATAATCATATATCAACTGACATCAACGTATTGTCCAACAATTAAAATTGAGAAATATTTTGAAAGAAAGAGAGAGACAGTAAACCCAAATTGAGTGGTGGTATAATGCATTATCCGTATTAAACAAAATATATATATATATATATATATATATATCCAGTCAAATTCAATTGGTATTAAATAATATAATAAACATATAATAAACAAGTGTGCAATTTTAAGTAAAACATCTACACGGCACCTCAATGCAATATAAAATTGGCAATAATGATTATTAATTAAATGTAATACCATGTACAAAGCTTGAATACAAGTACCCCCAAGTTTGATACTGATAAACCGGTGTCGTATAATAATAACAGATATGTAAAATAAGATTTAAACATAAATATATGGACCAATAATCATATATCAACTGACATCAACGTATTGTTCAGAACAGTTACAATTGAGGAATATTTTGAAGGAAAAAAAAAAAAAAAAAAAAAAAAAAGACAGTAAACCCAAATTGAGTGGTGGTATAATGCATTATTTGTAAAAATTAATCCAGACAAATTCAATTGATATCAAATTTGTTACATTCTCAATTATTTTAAAATTCATATAATGAACAAGTGTGTAATTTAATTAAAATGTCTAAACGGTAGTTTAATTCAATATACAATTGGCAATAATGATTATTAATTAAATTTAATACCCTGTACAAAGTTTGAAGA